TTTTTTTTTTTTTGTAACTCACGAAGTTTTCTGTTTAATATCCATCCAAACAATCCTCACAATTCATGCTAATTGGAGGTATTGTTTTTAGTTTTTCAATGCATCTGTTTTATCATTTATTAAAAGGCTGGCATGTACAAAAGAGTACTTTATTATCTGAGACATTTCAAGACATGTTCAAACAAATGCAGCACATCAAGAAAACTGGTTTTCCTTGCTAATTCATTTGCAGCATATCAACATCATCTACATTACAAACACTCATTTGCCTGCAATAATATTCCATTGCTCTAATAATCCCTTACCACATGACTGTGGCATTAGCAGACACATATGTGCAGTTGTTAGTATGAAAAATATGTAATTTTTTAGCTTGTCATTCCACTTTAAGGCCTATTTATCAAAACTTGTTGACAATATCCATGCCTTTTACTTCTGAACTTAATAGTATGTAAATCAAAGGCATGGATATCCATGCCTTTTACTTCTGAACTTAATAGTATGTAAATCAAAGGCATGGATAACATCAATAATGTTGGCAATTGCATTTTGAATTTTGGACTATGAAGTTCACAGGTAAACTCTTTACTCTTTCATATCATAGAAGATATTTCACGATTACTAATAGTTTTCTTTTTACCCACATACTGATGGAGCATAAAATGGTTACATAATTTTTCAATATTTTTGATGTTTTGAACATTCAGTTTTAAATAATATATATATGCATGTTGAAGCAATGCATGATTGGATAGACTTGTTTCATTGGCATTGCAAATGTTTTAAGGATGGTACTTCATAGACAATTCAGACCATTCATTCGAAAACCTGCGATTTTCTGACAGCAGGTATATCAGCAATATTCCCTATATATGTGCTTTTTAAACACAGTCTCTTTTCTTCCATTGTCTAAACTAGGAGTTTTCAACCCGTGGCCCACTGAAGGCATTTTAATGGCCCCACATTTGAATATGAAGATTGATTTCAAGAAAAAACTGCCACGTCAGCTTTTGTCGTGAAAAAAGCTTTTACCCCTGTTGATATTTAAAACATTTTACTGACATGCCTGATACAGTCAAAAGTCGTTAATTCGGACACCCATAATCCGGAATGATCTATAATCCGGACCTCAAAGCTACAAACTTTCTGCGCATGCATCGCGTTCACGCATGCGCACAGGCGTTTACGAGAGCGCGTAAGACCAACACCTCCTAGAACTAACTTCTAGGAGGTGTTGGTAAGACCCTTACGCCTGCGAATATGTTTGTGCGCATGCGCGTTTAAATTGTAACGGAGTTATACGCTAAGCTAAAGTTATCTAATTCAGTTGATGTTGCCGGTTGCGTTGTTCCTTAATCTTCGAATTGGATCCGGCTTATTATTTTTTGCAGACTGTTAGAGCAATTTTATAAAAGTAAGCTTGAACTTTCGATTATGTCAAATAGAATTTCCGATATATATTTACTACAAAGCGAAAGTTTGTTTTGAAATCCGAAATCTGTTTATCAATTTCACGCTGCTCTGCGGCAGAGGGGGGGGGCAGAAACGTCATTATTAGATCATGATAGATTATGTCAAATAGAAGTTCCGATATATATTTACTAATATGTAATTTGTATCTACAAAGCGAAAGTATGTTTTGAGATCCGAAATCTGTTTATCAATTTCACGCGGCGGATTGGAAGTTGATCTGTCAGCACTATCCTTATCTTCAGGGCAGATGTTTTTATTTTATTTGGTTTATAATTCCATACTAAGTGTAGTATTTCATTCTGTCTTTGATATGATTTAAATCAAGTTCCTCGTCATTATAATTCGCTTCCGATAGTGAAGAAAGTGACCCAGAGGTTATTGAAAACGAAAACATTTCGATTGACAAATTAGTCGGTATTCTCAACACAGCAATTATAGGGACTTGAACAGCGGAACTTTGTAACTAAACAAGAAATTATGTCTGTTTAATAGAATTAAAGAGAAGTATTATCACATGAAACGAAGCAACTTACATTGAAGGAAATGTTTAATAAAGTAAACAAATAAATATTAAGCTTTTTCTTTTTGTAAATTTTGATACCCTTTAGATCATAATTGTTCTTTATTTCATAAATTACGGTTTCATATTTTTAATTTTGTAATTTCTGCATGCCATCTTACCAGATTTAAACTGATGATCTATAATCCGGAATCGCCGAAGTCCCGACGAGTCCGGATTAACGACTTTTGACTGTATTACTTGAGATAAAATTTTCTGAAAATGAAGAATTTTTCAAAAATTTCACTTTTTCTCATGTAATTTTAAAAATAAAAAATTTGACTACGCATAAATTCTCAATTCCATAAAAAGGGTATATTCATATCTCTAACTGGTTTGCAACAGATGTCAATCTTTCGTTAATACTTCGCCAAAGGTGACCTTCAGAGTGCCCTACTATAGAGGGGAGGTGGAATAAATTAACAGAATTATATTTCTCCTAATGTTGCAAATCAGTTGTCAAAGGTGATCGTAAACATTTTGTTTGATTTGGTGATAAGCGGATTTTCTACAGTTGATTTTAAGCTAGGTTACTCACTTTCACTTCACATTTTAAAATTTAGAACCGTTTATGGTCTTTGAATGAGAACACATAATAAAAAAAGAAAAGTTGAAGGAAAAGTGCAATTTTTTTCAAGAAAAGCAGTCAGATCTTTATTGTTTGTTGTACATAAGGGTAAGGCAGTTTGCCTTATTTGCAACGACAGTGTGGCTGTGACGAAGGAATACAACATTAAGAGACAATATGATATGAGAAATATTCTGCATTGGAAGGTCATTTTCAAAGTGATAAAGTGAGTGAATTAAAATCAAAACTAAATTTTCAGTAGTCTTTCTGCACCACAGCGAATAAAGAATCTGAAAATAGTGTTGGTGTTAGTTACATGAAAGCAGAAAAAATTGCTAAGCATGGAAAACCATTTGCTGATGGAGAATTTATAAAAGAATGTCTTTAGAGTGCAGTTGATGTGCTTGGTCCACCACCTCAAGCATATCGAATATTAGCTTGTCTGGTGTGACAGTAGCGAGACGTATAGAGGATCTCGTAACAGATATATTCAGTAAATTAAAATCCAAATGCAAAAAATTTGAGTTTTATTCTGTAGCAATGGATGAATCAACAGATGCAACAGATACTGCACAAGTAGCCATTTTTATTCATGGTGTTGATAGAGATTTCAAAATTGTAGAGGAATTAGCCAGTGTCGTTGCACTTTAAGGTACAACACGAGGAACAGATCTGTATTTGAGTCTGACACAAACTTTAGATAAATGTGATTTAGACTTCAGTAATATATCTGCTATAACCTCAGATGGTGCTATATCTATGACTGGAGAGAAAATAGGATTACATTACTCAAATCTGATGTGAAAGCAAGTTGAAATAATACTATGATGACTTCTAGTCTGCATCATCCACCAAGAAACCACTGCATCATCCACCAAGAAATTTGTGCAAGAAATCCTTCTCAAACATTGAACATGTGATGAATGTTATTGTAAAAGTGGTTAATTCCATTCGGCCTAAAGGACTTAATCAGAAGCAATTTCAACAGTTCTTGAGTGGTTTGGAAGCTGAATATGGTGATGTTGTGTATTACATGGAAGTACATTAGTTGAGCCAAGGAAAGATGCTTCAGCGCCTTTTTCTTTGAAGAGCGAAATTTAACAATTCATAGAATCTAAGGCGAAATCTATTCACGAGTTCAGTAATAAGAAATGGTTGAGAGATTTTGCATTTCTTGTCGATATTACAGGTTATCTCAATGATTTGAACTACAGCTTACTGGGAAAAGATCTACTTGTTCATAATCTTTATTACTTTGTGAAAGCTCTTGAGACAAAATTAATCCTGTGGTTAAAGTCAATTGCTAAATAAGAATTCCACACACTTTCCAAAATTGATGGAGTGTGTAAAGAATTCTATAACATAGAATTCAAATAAGTATGTACAATGCATTTCAAATTTGAAGGAATTCAAAAGCAGATTTTCCAATTTTTGTGAAAATGAAATTTTTATTGGAATATTCTCCTCGCCATTTTCAGTAGATGTTGGAAGTATTCCACCTAAACTTCAATTAGAATTTATAGATTTACAGTGTGACTCTGCAGTAAAATGCAAGTTTCTTAAAAATCCTGCATTAATTAATTTTTATTCAAAATATGTGACCAAAGACAAGTATCCAGGATTTCGTAAACATGCAGTCTTCATATCTTCTATCTTTGGCAGGACCTACATATGTGAACAGCTTTTTAGTAAAATGAAAAATCCTATAATCAAAAACAAGAACACGGCTGACAGACAGACATTTAGAGGAAATTTTACAAATTGCAACAACACAAATTAAACCGGATATTGAAGCTTTAATCAGGCAAAACCAATGTCAAATTTCACATTAAAACTAAAGTAACTACCATCTCCAGCTAGTAATGAAAGTTTTTTTTTTCCTTTCTTTCTTTCTTTTTTTTATTGTAAATGCATTTTGTGACATTGTTCTGTACAATCAATCATCTTTATGCTTTTTTTTTTTACAGTTAGAAAAAGTTGCAAAATATTTTAATTTGGTTTGACTTTTTGGAACCAATGTATATATAGAAGTCCAGAAATCTGCAATGCTTGGGACACGAGGTTGTGCGGATTTCAGGACAGAAAAGATAATATTCATACTAAAAGTGCAAAATAATAAGGCATATTAGATACATTTAATTAAATTATTATATACATTAATGCAATAATTAACTATATGTATTAAATTATTATTACATATATAAACTGATTATATTATATTGCTCATTTACATTACGGTCCTCTGTTTTTAAATCAGCATCTCAACATTTTTAAAATACAGTTCTCAACTGTATTTAAAAATAGAGCCTCTCAAGCAAAAATTTTATGCAAATATTGAAAAACTGTAAATTTTTTTATATGTATACACGTGATAAATTATAATATAAAAATAAATATCAATGTATTTAAGCATATATTTATTAATAAGAAATTTTTAAAGATAATGGAAATAGCTGTTTGTTAATAAAGATTATTCTTTACTGTGCTGTGAACTAACATATGGAGTAAGAAACAGGATTCCAGGCACATACACAATTCAAATTTTACTAATGATTTAAAGCTATTTTAGGAAAACTTTGGATTGTCCCATGCATCACCATAAATATTCCTTGTACCTAAAAAATTAAAAATATAAATTTATATCAAGTAAAAATTTATATTAATCAATGAAAATTATTAAGATAAGACACAAAAGTTATTCTATTAGACATATTTGATAATTTTATATTAGATTAAATGAGAAACTTGGGTATAAATAGAAACAGAATATCAGTCAATTATATATATACAGTCAAAAGTCGTTAATTCGGACACCCGTAATCCGGAATGATCTATAATCCGGACCTCAAAGCTAAAATCTTTCTGCGCATGCGCCGCATTGACGCATGCGCATAGGCGTTTTACTCGTGCGCGCAAGACATTTACGACTGCGCATATGCATCTGCTCAAGTGCAGAATACGTTTTCGCGTGCGCGTTTAATGTATAACGGACGGTAAAAGCTAAATTTATCTAATTATCTATTTCAGTTAATGTTGATAGATTGCGTTGTTCCTTAATCTTCAAATTGGATCCGGCTTATTATTTTTTGCAGACTGTAAGAGCAATTTTCTAAAAAGTACGCTTGAACTTTCGATTATGTCAAATAGAATTTCCGATGCTGGAGCTCCCAAAGGATCTAGAAAACGAAAGTATGTTTCGATGTCCATCAAACAAAAAACGGGAATTGCTACAAAAAATGGATAAAAGCATATCCTTTGTTTATCTAACCGTTCCGAAATCTGTTTATCAATTTCACGCTGCTCTGCGCGGGGGGGGGGGCACGTCGCGGCGCGCAATGAACTGGAAGTTGATCTGTCAACACTATCGTTATCTTCAGGGCAGATGTTTTTATTTTAGTCGGCTTATAATTCCTTACTAAATGTAGTATTTAATTTCGATGTACTCCGCCTTTGATATGATTTAAATCAAATTCCTCGTCATTATAAATATCACGAATACAAATCACATAGTTTTCTGGTTGCAATTTTCTAATTTCGGCTATGAGTAAGGTATGCTTTACGCATCCGCGCGTTAAAAGAAATGTTTAATAAAGTAAACAAATAAATATTAGGCTTCTTTTTTGGTAAATTTGGATACCCTTTAGATCATAATTGCTCATTATTTTATAAATTAAGGTTTCATATTTTTAATTTTATAATTTCTGCATGCCATCTTACCAGATTTAAACTGATGATCTATAATCCGGAAAAATCGATAATCCGGAATCGCCGAAGTCCCGACGAGTCCGGATTAAAGACTTTTGACTGTATGAACTAAGTATATATGGCAACATATTAATAATTTGATATTTGTTCTATAACAACGAAGTATTTAAGAAACAATACATGGTGTAGAAAGTTATTAATTTATTTCAATTCATAACCTAAAAATGCCTGAACAGTTTGTTAAAAACATAAAATAATGTGATCTAAATTCTAAATAAACTAAACATCAATAATAAGACACTATTACATTATTTATTTATGAAGAATAAGTATATAAAGTAAATAATTTTGAATAAACTGATGCTTATGATATTTATAAATTAGCTCAAATTAATTAAATTTTAGCATGATGGGGATGTTAAGAATAAATGTATAATTAAGAATTAAAAGTACACTGCGAAAAAAAAAAGTTCTATATCTCCCGTTCTACTGGATATATTGACGAAATACAAATTGCGTTTTTCATATCTCAACATAAGCTCGACTTGGGATATGTATTAGATTTATATATAGCATTGTTCTAATATAGTTATTATGACACAAAATCGGACTTTTTCTGAAATGACATGCCAATTTTTTTCTATATTTCGATTCTACGATTCAAATTATGCCAAACTACTACGTTTTGTAAAAATCGCCCAAGTACTTTTTAAAAAATTAGCTCTCGAAGGTATGTATTTATTAATCTCTCTCTCTTTTTTTTTTTTTACACTTACTTGATTCCTTTTTTCACAGTTCGAAATTTAGGTTCATTACAAATAAAATTCGCCCATTTTTTATGATTTATTTTTCAAATTTCTATTTTTAAATAATGTTTATAAATTTTTTGAAAAATATTTGAATTATAATCTATAAAATTTTTACCATCCTCTTGAAGTAGATGTATTTCTAAGCATACCTGCAAAAAATTACAGCATTTTATTTAAAATTTCCGAAGATATACGTGAATTTATATATAGGCGCGTTTTGAAATTTGGCATATTTGTTAAAAGCGATAATAACATCTAATGTGGTTTACGCACTTTTTAAAAATCATTTGAAAGTATGAACGATCTGACTTTTTCCCTCTCATTCACAATGTAAATAGAAAAAGGAAAATAAGTTGCCATAAATTAAGAAGTTCACCAAGTGAATTATTCTTGGAGTAAACTAGAAAAAATACCCCAAGATAAATTTTTGAAGCTCTCCGTAAATTTCGCAGAAAAATTTACAAAATTTAATATTTAGGCTTACTTTGAGTTGTAGAATCGAAATACGGAAAAAAGTTGGCATGTTATTTCAGAAAAAGTCCGATTTTGTATCAAAATACCTATATTAGAACAATTGTTTCATAAGAATGAATTGAAGTTAAATAAGTTTAATTTAAATACAAATTTAATTAATTCTTTGCGCCATTGCTGCAAGGAATGAAATTTAAATTTTAACAAACATGTATATATGTAAAAAAGCAAATTTAAAGTTAAAATAATAATAAAAAATGTGCAAACATATAAAAGATTTAATTTTCCAACTAATCTACAATATCATTTAAATTCAGATAGCATAAGTAAATCAAGTGCAAAACCAAACCATGAAAATAAATTCACCAATTTAGAAAATTAAAATTAATCTAATTTTTTTTTTTTTAAATGCATAAGTGAATGACTGTTGAGCAGGCAGGAGACAGACTTATCAAGGGCAAGTTGCCTCCAAACCTAACTCTCCAATCATTCAATTCGTGTTTCGTCATTCATGCAGGCAAGGGTAAAAGTGCAAACCAAAAGTAAAGAGTGAAGAATGTCCAAAAAGAAATACAGTCAAAATTCGTTAATTCGGACACCTATAATCCGGACCTCAAAGCTACAAATTTTCTGCGCATGCGTCGCAAGACCTTTACGGCTGCGAATATGCGTGTGCGCATGCGCAAAATACATTTACGAATGCGCAGTTAATGTATAACGGACGGTATAAGATAAAATTATCTAATTCAGTTAATGTTGCAGATTGCGTTGTTCCTTAATCTTTGAATTGGATTCGGCTTATTATTTTTTGCAGAGTGTTAGAGCAGTTTTATAAAAGTAAGCTTGAACTTTCGATTATGTCAAATAGAATTTCTGATATATATTTACTAATATGTAAAGGATCTACAAAGCGAAAGTATGTTTCAAAGTCCATTAAACAAAAAGTGGAATTGCTGCAAAAAATGGATAAAGGCATATCCTTTGTTTATCTAAACTTTAATGTTTGTTTATCTTTAACGCTGCAGCGCGCAATGAATTGGAAGTTGATCTGTCAGCATTATCCTTATCTTCAGGGCAGATGTTTTTATTTTATTTGGCTTATAATTCCTTAATAAATGTAGTATTTCATCTTGATGTACTCCGTCTTTGATATGATTTAAATCAAATTCCTCATCATTATAATTCGCTTCTGATATGAAGAAAGTGACAGAGTTTATTGAAATCGAAAAAATTTCGATTGACAAATTAGTCGGTATTCTCGACACAGCAATTATAGGACTTGAACAGTGGAACTTTGTGACTGAACAAGAAATTATGTCTGTTTATAGAATTAAAGAGAATATATTATCACATAAAAAACGAAGCAACTTTAACAATTTACATTGAAAGAAATGTTTAATACAGTAATTAATATTAAGTTTTTTTTTTTTTGTAAATTTTGATACCCTTCATATCATAATTGTTCTTTATTTCATAAATTACGGTTTCATATTTTTAATTTTATAATTTCTGCATGCCATCTTACCAGATTTAAACTGATGATCTATAATCCGGATTAACGACTTTTGAGTGTACCAATAAAGTGGTATCTTTAAATTAGCAATTAAAAATTAAAGTTCAAAAAATTAAAGTTTTAAAGGAAAATACCAATGAAACCTTTTGAGAAATAAGCAATGTAAAGTCAAGTATTAAATTTAAAAAAAATTAATTTTTCAGAAAAATTAATTCGGAAACCAATGCATTTTAGAAACTCTTGTCTACAGAAACCTCCCTGACATGAATATGCATATCAATAAAAAGAAACTAAAAAGGAATTAGACATAATTTATATAAACCAATAAGAAACAAAAGAACTAATTCATAATTTTTATAAAATAAATATATACTTAAAAATGTAATTTCATATCTAGAAAATACTTAAATACTACATAAAAAATACTTAAAGCAAGTAAATAGTAAGTTTAATTCTAACTTACTTACTATATTAGCGTTGGGGTCTGCAAAAGTTTTTCCAAAGTGATGTGTGTTCTTCAAATTATATAGATGGCGCTTTTGTAAGTAAAGTTGAGTGCCAAGCTGCTATCTTTGTTTTATTAAATTTTTTTTTGCAAACTTTAATATTAAAATATTTAAATATAAATCTAGAAAAAATTAAATATCCTAAAAGTATGTAAATTCAAGTTTAATTTTAACTGATCAACTATTTATGGTAGGGAGTTAAGTAGCTGAGAGCAAATCAAGAGATGTAAGTTTGCTTTGCAAATATCATAAAAAGAGTACTATTTGAAGTAAAGTAGAGTTAAGTGGTTATTGTGAATTAATAAATGTAAACTGTTTGTGATGTGAAATGTGTGTTCTGTTGCAAAATTGTGTAAATATTGCAAATAATAACGTTAAGTGAAAAAAAATTGTGAAAATTGCAAATAATTAAAAAGTAATTAAGTAAAACTGAAATGTTTTAAAAATTTTTTAAATAAGTTTTAAAGTAAAATTTAAAAAGTCTTAAAAAAATTCTTAAAAAATTTGAATTCCTTAAAAAACCTCTAAAAAAATTCCCAGAAATCTCCCAAAAATTCCTTAAAAAAGTTAATTAAAAGTTATATTTAATGAAAGAAAATATTGGAAGTTTA